ACCCACTGCTTCACAGTTAGAAACACTTTGTCTCATCAAACGTTGATCCGTTTTTTAAGAAGCACACAGCATCGTACATATACCGAGAAAATTTGATAAGATCTCGAAGCATGTTCCAGACGCGGTGACATGCGTGTACAGTGTGTCTTCTTCTTGCAAGTAGTATTGAAGAAGGTGCGAAAAACTCGTAGAGACATGAAATATCAGTACACTGATCGATAACAGCAGGTAACTCAACGACTGTTTTCTCCAAGTTACTACAAAAACGAAGACCAGATTGCGGGTCCTTTCGGATTTTCCTCACGAATCTAATAACGAAGGGGTATTAAGATGAAAGAACGCGGCAACAGGCAAAGCTTGGTACCATTGTGTAATCATGTCTAACGAATATAAGCTATACGAAAGCCATGGGAGAAGAACCAGTTGACATGTCTTTTCACCCTCATCAATTGCTGTCTTCTGACGAAATTTGCCAGCACACTATCTCCCTCGTTCTAGATATAGATTACTCTCCATCGTCATTCTGTTCTGACGTAATACTCAGGAGAAAGGAAGTGGTACTGAAGAGAACAGCTGAAAAAGCTCCGCGCCTCGAATCGCCTATCCTTCCGAACAGTCAAGCCAAAGAAGAAGTTCCAGTTCGAATGAGTAAGGCTGACAGAGTGCTGCTACAATTCAAGTGCGTACTGCAGCGTAGAAAATAAATGAGTCTGAAGGCCGAGACACGCGCAAGTTGGAGGTTCTCCATCGTGGGTTTTGGGAGAAGTCCAAAACTTAGGTCCTGAAAACGAAAACCTCCAAGTTGATGCTGAAATCGAGCAGCTAGTTACTCCGATCTTTCGAATAATTTCTCGGTCACCCATGCACTAACAGAAGCAAACACGTTATTACCGCAAAATCACTTCGATTTTGGCGGTTTCATCAGAGTGGTAATCTGGAAACCCAGAATGACGCAGGCTGATACTGTGTTCACTGCTTAGGTATGTCAAAAACCAATAATCTGCACCAACGTGGGATTATCATCTGCGGGAACCCTGTCACCGACCACCGTGCCACAGTGATAGGAGTACAAAAAGGCTGGCTCACTTGCATGCAAAAAACAGTCTGAGTAAGTACATTATTAAAGTGTACAAATAAGCGAACAGAGGAAGGTATATCTTGATTAGCAAACGTTTGAATGTCCACAAAAACTGTTTCAATCGAACCCGCTGATGAGAATCGCTTCTAGCCATTTGTTAGTTGTCGTGACTGTTTGACAAATCTACTGAATAAAAAATCAATTGTTCAAAACCGTACACTGAAAGTAAGAGGGCTGAACTGCGAGGTATCATGCGTTATTCGGAGGGGTGGGAAATTCCATTCGCCAAACGATTTGAAAAGAGTAAAATACATATTCTGCAATATCCGAGCAAGTTTCGCTTTTTTAAGCGGACAGATCTCACAATGAAACATGAAAAAACAAACTGAACCTGCAACCTGGAGCAGGCTCGGATTTACGGTCTCCAAGGCACATTTCCCGAGGCGCTGAAAATCAGAACAGAACACCAAGTAATGCAGTCTCGATGATAAGGAACGCACGAACATCGCCAATACAACTTAGCAGAAAATACACTTTCCTTGATTATTCTAGATAAATCGCATCTTGTCAAGGCACACTCAGCCCGATCAGTCAGTCGCAGTTACCGCTGGAGTTTGTCTCATCGATCATGACCGTGCAAGCAATGCATAAACTGCTACATGCATGGAGTTAATCACTGAAATGGTCGAGGCATCTAACCTGCGCTTACGCTGAATGGCTTCGAAAGATACTTTGATTGACTAACATTTTGGCCTAACATAATTTCATCCAATTCTAAACTCAAAGATGTACTCCCAGTTTTACTGCATTAAAAACATACAAAACATGAATAAAGTTCAGCCGCAGGCCATGTTGGTAGAAGTGTATATCATCCTGAAAACAGCGGACAAAGGTTCGTACCTTTGGATGTTCTGACCCGGTTTACGTTGTGGAAAGGGAAGCTCTGATGTTTCAGGTCGGAACTGTCTGCTCGAACTACGCGAAGAGGCTGCATGTGCCAGGTAGGCCTTTTTATCTGACAGCATTCTGACAGTTTTCGACTGGGACTGTGGTAGACATCTTGTAGAGCTGGTCCATGAGTGCTCCGTCAAACATCTGGATTGCAACCTTGGACAATAGGTAAGAAAACATACGAACAAAGCCTCTCTACGTTTGAACCAGGAAAAAAAGTAAACCGAGTGGAAAAGCAATCAAGGCTCGTTCTTTCACGACTTCGAAGTTTTCCTGCATTTATCGTCATCATCATCATCATCGTCATCACCATCATCATCATCATCGACAGCATGATATCAATGTTCAACACCGATACTTCACTGACGTACAACCATGATTTATTTGAAAGCCTTATTGTAAAGGCGAACGGGAAAAGGACTTAGTGCTAGCTTACCACATTCATTCCGAGGTGCCGATACCTCCAGACACTCACTCAGACGATCTGGACAGAAACTGACAACAAGAACGCCACTGACATCGGTTGGCAGCCATATCTTGTAATGTCTCCGAACAGGCACAAAGAGGATCACGCGGTCCCCATCCTGGAAGGCGGGTAACATTTGCGATTGAAACGTTTACATTGACGACATACTGGATGTGGCAATAGACCCACTGTTTTAACCTGCTTTCCCATCGAGCGTCGACAAAGTTGGGAGGAAAGACACAGTCACTTATTTTTCACCCTACTGCCCCTCGATGGCAAACTCACCAGATCGAGCAATCAAATGACAAGTTAATTAACCGACTTACAGCATGTATGAATTGGCCGAAAGGTTATTCTTATAACCAGAGGATTAGTGTTGACGTGCAAACACATGGGGCGGGCGGCTTCTAGAGTTTGGTAATCGAGCATAAATATGGCAAGCAATCTGCATCTACTGGCCTTACACGCAGTAGTCTCGTATATGACGTAAAAATGTTGAAGGAGTCTAAGGCTGTTGTAATGTGCAACTCAACTGAATAATTATCACCAGAGAATTAAACGTTTTGCTAGAGTAATCGTTCCGTTTTGAAACTGATTTAGTAAGACTAGTGGTTCCCAGCTCAAATGAACCCTAGCTTTTCATCGCCATTATCTGATTTCATTTCATACAGACTAATGAACGAATCATATGATGGTTTGAGAGGTGGACAGTTAAATAACAAGCAGAAAACAATGCATGAAGGCGTTCCCCGAGAAAAACCAATCCGCGTGTACAAGCCCTTAAGACAGAGGTCTGGTCTACTCCTGGTCTACTCCCACCATATACCCTGGTAGGTGAAGTGAGCCTGAACGTAATGGTTGGTAACCTGAGACGTCTCAGAACACAAAAGTAAATTTGAGGAAATCTCCAGGACTTAGAGGGAAACGGGTAAGACAGTCGGTGAATTCATCGGAGTAAGGAATAGATAAGGGGAAAACAAGCCAGCACTGAGGATTCCATCCTTGCTCTTTCGCATATTCGTTCTTCTGCTCCTCATCACCCGGTTGCCAGCGTTATCTCTGTACGCCCATTCTTCAGGACTGACACAGCCTTTCGCCATACATTGTTGTTTGCTGTAATATCTACCGTTAGTTCGGTCGCTGTTGTCGCAGGAACTGTGGCTCATCCTTCAAACAACAACGCTCAGTACATCTAGTGGACTCTAACATTCACAATGCGGAACAAGCCGCTGAACGGACCGCTCCTGCAGATATGTTCGACCCGCCTCCTATTGCTGTGTATTGTCTACCTGGAATGAGTCCAAGACAGAACGGTTCTTGAACTGACTGCCCCATCTGTTTAAACTCGTTTCTGGTTTTTCTGCTCTGCTGCTCCAGAAGCCGCTGTTGCTACACTCAAGGTCGTTTTCTACGACGCTATGGGCGCCTTGTTGAAGTAGATTAGCAGCTCACATATTGTTGTCATTGGCGGGAATATGAATGCGCAATTAGGTGGACTTGGCTCAAATGGCTGATCGTCTTGCCGTTGAATTGAGATGCATGGAAAACGCGAACGCCTATTGCAGTTATGTGCTGACCCCTGACTGCTTCTGTGCCGTACTAACTTCAGCAGCAACCAAAGCCGCTTGGCTACATGGCAGCCACCAAAATCGACTCAACCCGCAACACAGATGGGCCACATCCCTTCAACCACAGATGGTGCGCGTCAATTCCTGCTTGTCACTCGTTCTGGAACACCTATATGGATTTGGGTCACGCGCTTGTTGTTTAATGATGCTCGTTGCACTTTTCAAGGGCGCAGAAGGTGCGCACTCCTTTCATTCGCCGTCATTCGTAGGCTGTCGAACCATTTCTTTAACGAAGCCTACCAAAACCACCAACTGAAATTTCCTCTAGGACAACATGCCTTCTGATATCGACTCTAACTGGAAGGTACTCACCTGGCAAGATGCTGAGTGCTCCACGTGTGGAATAGTCTAGCCAGCTAGACTCACACAACACATCTCAAGTGAAACCCTAAACCGTTCAACTGACCAACATGTGTGCATTCTTGTCGAGATTACACTACCGGCAGACGAACTTTCAAGTTATTCGTGCATATCTGGGAGATTGGTGTATCCAGAAGGCTGAGGAAATGGAGGAAGCAAGGAACTCTGAGATTGTTCACAAACTTTTCTGTCGGATACGCGCAACGAGTCCCAAGAAGCCTCGGGCAAGAAAAAAATCACCGATGAACACGATCCAACTACCTCCAAAAAAGAACAGCACCTAAATCATTGGGCTAAAAAAATTCAACAACGATTCGACTGGTCACCTGCCAGTATTCGCTCGGATTCCTGACCCTCCAAGAGGAGCCATGGATAGTAAATTTGGAGCCTCCGACGTTCTCGGAAATAACCGAATGTTTTCTGGTCCTAAAGGACTCCCAACTACTCTGTACAAAATCGGAGGTGACCATCCCAACTCACTGGACAGAATTGATAGTGGTGTCCATTTTCAAACTGGTTAACGCAGTGTGGCAGTCAGGGAGGAACGGGCTTGATCCGCGTTGTAACCGGACTCCGCTGGGCTCGTTTTACGACGTTTCACGAAGCGACGTGAAGAGAAAACCTGAGAACAATACTCAGGGCCTGTGTGGACCGAGTCTGAACGCTCCGTCAGATGTTGCAGCAATTGCATTGGTACAGACGCCCTAAATTCTTGGTGTAGACTGACCTCAAGATCAGGTTCGGTCCTGCTCGACCGGTTAGCAATTCCCAACACGCCATCGATACCAGGTGTCAGAGAAGAACGTCAACATATGCTGTTTGTATTCACAAACTTGTGGGTGCATGAGAGTGTGTAAGGGCCTCTCCAAAAGATTTCTTACGAGCAGTGGTATCCGACAAGGACAGTCACTGTCACAATTTCTGTCCGACGCCATCGGTTAGGTCATGAGGTGATGAGGCGAACACTGGGAAATCTTCAAAACTCCGGTGTTTGAAACTTTCCCGAATGAGAATCGTGTCGATATGCAGACGATACTTTTGAAAAAGCAGCAAACGCAAGCAATACTAGAAACACTGGCCAAGGTCATTCAGTCCTTCGGTATGTGCGTCACGTCCAAAAAGTGCAGCGTCATACTGTGGAACATGCACTGTTTGAACATGTCTGCAAGAATTCAAGGAAGGATAATGGAATTCGTGATACGCTGTATGTATATCGGAATTTGAATGAGCTCTGACGTCAGTGTGCTAGACGAGGTAAACGCGTTTACCAGTTTGCGCCACTTGTGACGTAAAGGGGTTGTCTCACTGGGTCTCAAGAAACCAGTGTATCAGACCACAGTGTGGTTTTGCCGTACCTCTGAGAAACCCGGCTATGCCGGGCAAAAGGTCGCAGATATCCTTAGGTCAGTGGTCACTAACGTCTCAGGACTACAGCTAAGATCGCCCTGAACCGGTGAATCAACAGTGAAATGGCGAAGGGGATAGTACTTCTCTCAAAGAATGCATCCAGTACTGCAAGCTAAGTTGGCTAAGCCATGTGACACCAAGACGAGCGGTGTAGTGTGCGTCTACTTTGGACCGACGTTGGCATGGCAGAAAAGAATGAAAGGTTTCACAATGATTCTGATCGTTGTTGGCTTTCCATCGTACCCTCTCTATGTTCGGATGGAGACATTGAACGATTTGGCAGCTAACCGATATCAGTGGCGTTCGTGTAATCAGTCTCTGTGCAGTGTCTTTGCTGTCGAATAGATCAACTTATGTTCACCGGACTCCGCTTTAACACGATAGCGTCCTTACGTCAAAACCGATTCCGAAAAACAAACCACCCGTTCAATTCACAGACCACGAAACACGCAGTTTTAGAGACTAATGATACGATAACAGTACCGTGTTGTCACTCTGCCTTAAATTCCTGTGCTGATAAAGGCTACTGCTCTGATGTATCGCGTCCAACACGTCTTTCAGTTTTGCACTAATGCGAATTTTGTTGCAAGCGACACAGCGGAACAAAGGATACTACCTTGAAGAGTTTAGAAAGGCGGGTTTTTTCGCCCTCGAAAGAGACCCATGTAACATGCTCCGTTTCTGGTTACAAGGATGTCACTGAAGGGAGGAGGCATCGAAGAGAAACCATTATGCATCGACATCAGTAGATCAACGCGTAGAAAAAAGGCATTTTTCTTGTACTATTCAAACAGCCAATCCCTCGAGTCAGGATGAGTTGTCGTTAGCTTGTTCGAAACTTACCGCCCCGTGTGATCAGAATAATCTCGAATTGACAAACTTCTTTCGTTTCTGGCCGGGAAAGAACTGAGTGACGATAGGGGACGATAGCCGTTTAAGCCAAATGATGAATCGGGCAGCGCCTTTGAGGGAACTGAGGTTGTAACAGGTGGAAAACGTTGGTAATAGTATTGCCGTTTAAGCCAAATGATGAATCGGGCAGTGTCTTTGAGGGAACTGAAGTCGTAACAGATGGGAAGCCTTGGTAACATTATCTTTGGTCGGTACAAGCAGAGATTAACGTTCCATCAGACTTGTCCAATGCACAGAACGAGTAGCAACGCCGCCCATCAAAGGCATCAACACAAGATAGATAGGGTCCATTCAGGAAGTTACAGCGAACGGATTCCTGATTATCTTCGCTGATGGTCGTGCGTTTTCGTGAGGGACAGATCAGTGAGGGTGTCATAAGATGCGAGCGACTAGGAAAGAAAGTAATAACGAGGGCAGTAGTAGTAAAGATGATTGAACTGATTGTGTTGACTTCACGAGACAAACCACAATGCATGCATTCCACTAGTTTTCACAGTGTGGGCAGGGCGGAATCTGGGAGATTAGATGAACAATGCCTTCACTGTGATGAGTAAAGAAAAGGGTGCACACAAGGAGAACAACATTGAATTTACCCGTAAATTTTGGTTTCGTTGTGTCCAGATAAACAGATTCGGAGCAAAATTGAAGATGAGGAAAACAATTAGGCGGGGGCATTCGAAACAGCTTAGTAAGTGGTAAATTGTATTGTGTAACCCAAGAAATGTTCGGTCGAAAAAGAGGCTGTGTTGGCACTGGCTAAAATGGAGGAAATTTCGACTTGATCCTCTGTAATTTCAAACACAACAAGCTACTTGTCATGTGATCAAGTAGGCTAAGAGGAGTAGAACAATTAGTAATAAAAGGGATTCACGCCTTTGAATAGCTCAAGTGGAAACCTCATTCGTGCGTTAACTTGTAAGTATCGAGCTGTTATGCCTTTAATTTTCATTGTCTTTTTCGATTAGGTGCAACGAAACAATCTTACTCGAGTCAATAAATATGCATGAGTTGCTGCTGAACTGTGCATGCGAAACAGTCGGTCCTGGGGATACTGGTCACGAAGACTGAGCACTACCCAGATCCGTCTACAGGCATGCCAACGGTCATTTTGTGTGCAAATGTGAAATTTTCAAGTGGAGCTCTAACCCTGCATCACGCGTGGAGAGTATTACTGTCGTCTCGGAGGACGACTGGGGAAGTCCGAAAGTGAAATGAAGGAACCTGTATTTCACAATGTAATCTGCCAAGCTTGCCAGCAAGCATCCAGAATTCGTACATATCCCGCAGCCGATCTTAGCTAGTGGACGATGTATATTTTTGTGAGTTCTGTATGATTTCGGCTTGCGTAGAACTTAGGATTTACAAAACCTCACGGATTAAGTCCTAAGGAGGGTAAAATCGGTCGTGCGTTGTTGACGATTTTTCAGCGATCTTCTAACCTGTTTCCTTCAAGGATCCACTGAACACATCCATTCAGATATTTAGGTCTTTCTAGAAGGATGACCGCTTCACAGTGTAGTAGCCACTATCTGCTACGCAGAGCTAAACAAGATAACTTCGGTCTTTCAAGAGAACAGGCTGTATTTCAGAGGGTATACAACCAAACTCAGTAAATCAATATGTAAATGCAAATAGGCCTATCACAGAATACGTTTTGGAACTTAAACTGCCTTTATTTGTTTTTTTTTCACCATTGTCATCGTTTAGCAAGAAAGTATAATGATGCGCGGTTTCTTTCTTCCTGTGTTGATGGAAAATTGAGAGCGAAACCGATAGTGGGTTGTCGAAGAGTTCTCGGCAATTTTACAAATAGTGCGCTATCTGAAGAAGGTTTCCCGCCTTGGTTGCACTGACCATCAACGTCTTGGTCAGTCCGTACTCTTATCTTAGCGTACAAAAATGCATGACTGTTGTACTCAGATAAAACATGTTATCAGATTCTGGTTGAGGCAGTTAACTATTGTGAATCATTGTCCGAGCAATGGCCGCATTAATCGTTCAAGGTCGAACTGCAGTTTATGTTATCAGATTTAGGCGATCGCTTCACTTTGTGCTCTATGGTTGTCATACCAGATTTAATATAGATCATTCAGCTGTAGAACTTTTTGAGTGCTCAACTGTCATGCCACCCGAATGTGCGACAGGAGGTCTGAGGTGCGGTCGAAACTTAGATTGAAGCAGTCGAGATATCAGGGTTGTGTTCCAACCACGGACCATTTGATCAGTAATTTCACGCCTTAACTGCTGATCCACCTCCAGCCCTTTAGCAAAGTATAGACCAAGGAGAACTGTTCTATCAAATGGCATCAACTAAATTTCACGTTGGAATATTCATCCCCCAAAATCACATATTTCTATATCACTTTAATAGTCCAATGAGTGCGAGTGGTCACCATACACTGAAAGGTATGAGACGAAAAAATAAACCATGTTGCATACCTTGCATAATCTTCCGCTTGCTGTACCAAGATCTCTTCGTTGATTTTTCGGACCGACTGAGCAAGTTGATTCAGCATTCGAATGCGTTTCTGTGTTCTCGCGGCGGACATCGCTGAGCGCTGCTACAAAAGAAGAAACCGGGTCAACAAAATTTGGCTTGACCGCCATTGAGTTCACCTCAAGGTGGGTATCTACCACGCTCTATTTGCAAATAAAACACCTACCGTCAACTCCCGATAGTAGGAATGCAAGAGAGAAGGAGCTTGTAGCCCTGTATCCAACGCGTTCATATTAGATCTTGGCTGGCAGAGAAAAGCTCCTTCTGTTATATTTTCACAAAGGAAACTACTCACAAGGCTGCTGAAAACTCTTCGACAGGCCACGACTGGTTTCGCCCTTCTTGGGGCCCATCAGGTAGGTGCAGTCCCCAAG